CCTGAAAGAGTAAATAAAATCTAAAAGGTACATCAATTAAAAAAAAATTGTTGTATAGCACAAAGGAGTGGTTAAGGCTCTACTCTTGAAAGCCAAAAATACTTCATCTGTACAATGGGTGTAGGAGTAACCATCACCTTGATAGAGCTGTAGAGGTTACATGAGATGAGGCCTGTACAGAACTCAGCAGAACACCTAGCAAATAATAACTGGCAACAAGCCCAAGCAGGCGTTCACAGCTATAATATTCTCTAAACGGCCCCCTTACTCTACACCCCTTTCTGAGCACTACTCTGTGCACTGTGCCAGGCTGGGACTAGTGCTTCATTCCTAAGAACACAACTCTCTGGGCCACATCAGCTGCAGCCAGTGAACCTGTCCCCTGGTCACAGCTTCCTGCAGAACAAAAATCAGGAGAAAAGAATGTCTGTGTAGGAAGTGGAAAGGTTGTAAAATGATGTTGATGTCACCACAAATTGGGGAGAGAACCTCTTCATACCCCTGATGTTGGCTCTTGGGCCAAACAGAACCACATGAAGAAGCCAGGCAGATGTCTGTCCTTGGGAAAAGGTAAAAGCTGCAGTGCCTCATCCTGGGCTGAGGAACCCATTCCAAGGCAAGCACAAGACCAACACTGTTTACCTCCCAGCCAACTTTACAGCTCACTGTACAGTGCCAGAAGCCTCTCCCGGTACTTCACAGCAACATTGCAGACAGGATTATGTGGTTATGAAGTCAATAATTTTTTTTTTAAACAAGAAAGCCAGCCAGCCAGCATTCATCCTGAGGAAACTCATTCTTCTGGTTACTTAGGACAAGACAGACATAGGTAACACACAGTGTTAGGTTTTGACTCTCTCTCTGTCTCTCTCTCTCTCTCTCTCTCTCTCTCTCTCTCTCTCTCTCTCTCTCTCTCTGTCCTTGATAAGTCTTCCTATTCTTCTTGAAGATAACATACTTTGGTTATGATGAAAACTTTAGAGACAGGAAACATATTTTGCTTAGACTGTCAAAATTTGATACAATAGCTCAGGTAGGCAAGTGCAGGAGCCAGGGTTCGATTGCTAGCATAGCATGCTGTGCTGGCCCCGCCCCTGGGGTGCACTGTGATGGCACTTGCGACTAGGTGTGTGGTTCACACCTGTAATCCCAGCACTACCAAGGCTGAAAACAGCAGGATCACTACAAGTCTGAGCTACATAGTGAGACACTGCACACACACACACACACACACACACACACACACACACAAAAAAAAACACCCGAAACTAAAATTTGATACAAAAAACACTTCAGTTGGGTTCATCATCCCACCACAAAGCAGTCATACTTGTAATTAATTTAGCAAAATAGGGGAAAGAACCAGAAAAAAATCTTGCTTTACTAATGACCTGTAAGCAATTTTGCTCACATTTCAAATAGACTTATTTCTGTAAGAACTTTCTGGGGCAGAAAATTCATTTCTTTTGAATACAGCTTTAACTCTAACATTGCTTTATTTCTCCTTCAGATAAGCATTGTTTTCTCCTTTGGTTCTCCCTGCACCCTTTCCCAGGTTTCCAGTGAAACAGTAACAGCCTCTCACAGAGGAATTAAGACCATTCATCATTGCATCAGCACAGGCCATTTTTTTGTAGAGAAATTCAGAGGTGTTGCACAGGGTTTCACAAGGGACTGACATGTTACAAAACAGAATTTCTAAGAAGAAGCTGAAATAATTAGTAAACATGATCATTAACTTTTTTTTTCAGAAGAAAAAAAAGAGTCCTCTAGGCTACAATTGTGTAGCCACAGGGAATGAGATTTTGCATGCACACCCATACACAATTTAAGCTATTTCCAGAATGTTTTATTTTCAGAATGACTGCACTCAACACTCTTCACATTAGGCCCTAGGATCAAAAAAGATATAGATCCCCTGTACCACAGACTGGCTGGTGCTGGGTGAAAGGTGCATCCAAGCTTGGGAGCCTTCAGAAAAGTTAGATCATTGTTTATCCTCACATTGTCTTTTGCTTCTAAAGACTCAGATTCTTGAATGTGCTTGAAAGATGAATTGCAGATTTGCAATCAAGATGTTTGGACCTGGAAGCTCTCCCACCTACACCAAACTATAGTAATGATAGGTAAAAACATAAAAAGTAAAGCCAAAATTAGCTTTTCCAATTCAGAAACAAGGTAAGTATCATCTTAGACAAAAAAGAAGAGAAAGGCAAAGGAATAAGCAAGCCAAAGATGCAGAGCCTCAGGTCTAGAAGCATACAGTAGAAAGCATCAAGTTCAGTGCCAGAGGGGAAGAGGGCATAAAAAATGTTTCATGTAAGAAATATGAAGAGTCAAGTCCAATGTTTAAAAAGAGACTAATTTACTTGTAAAGAAGAGGCTGAAAAACTACTGATGATCTATTCTCTTGGGCTGAATACTGATAACAATCTGTGGGCTTGAGGAGGCTAGTGGATAGGGAACCAAGATGTCTACCACCTTGTCTGCACTGGCCTTGTCTCCACTACTAAGTTCATGAGGATACACACAAATCTCCCTGATGTGAGTGCTTCTCACCTAATCAGTGGAATGCCTGAAGAAACAAAGAAGGCTGCTGTCACATAAGAGGGAACTCCTGACTTCTTGCTGGGGCTGAGACATTGGTCACATTTTGCCTTTGTTCTTAAGCTGAAATAGCAACTTTTCTTGGATCTCAACCTGTCTGCTTTTGGACTCAAACTTAGCCTTTATCAGACGGCTCTCCTGGGTCTCTATCTTGCCATCTGTAGACCTTGGGACTTTACAACCTTCATGATTACATAAGTTAATTTCTTATAATTCATCTCTTTTCTTTGTCTACCTGCTCCCCAGACTCATGAGCTGCATAATGGTATTTTGGTCAATGACAGACTATGTATAACACAGTGGCCCCGTAACAGTAGGATGGAAAAAGAAGTCCTATTGCCTAGCGATGTCATAATCACTGTGCTAGTTCAGCACATTACTCATGTGTTTATGGTCATGGTGGTGGAAACAAGCCAGCTGTGCTTCCAGTTGTACAAAGGTGTAGCACATATAATTATAAAAGTGTTAATACTTGATAATGATATAAATGACTAGGTTACTAGTTAATGTTTGTGGTATGCTATACTTTATTGTTATTTTAGAATGTACTCCTTGTATTTAAAAAATAAGTTTACTGGAAAATAGTATGTTGGGTTACTGTGTGTTTACATAATGACAAAACTGTCTAATGATTCATTTCTCGTAAAGTATCCCCATTGAAAAACAACACCTAATTGAGTAGAATCTCAACTAACATAACATTAAACACACTTTTAGCTCAACAGACTAAGAGAAAGTAAAGAGAATGGTGTCAATGGGATCTAGGCATTGTAGACTGGCTAAAAGCCATACACCTCTCTTTCCTCGTCTTTGTCTTGCACCAAATACGAAAAGCTAAAACACATTTTTCCAGCCTGTTTTATAGTGAAGAGTGACATGGCCGGAACAAGGAAATATGATGGAAGACTCCTAGAAGGACTTCTCTTGCTCTTTGCCTTTTACTGTCATCTTTTTCCTGTCTAGATCTTGTAAACACTCATGGGGCAGTCATCTCAGGCCTATGAGAAAAAAATCTCATAGAGATGGATAAAGAAGAAGACAAAATGATTCAGGGTTTATGATGACAGCTGTGTATAGCAGCTCTCATCTTGGATTACTTCTCTAGAATTTTTAGGACAAATACACTTCACCTACTAAAGCCAGTTTTGGGTGAGTTATTGTTTATTTATAGTCCAGATTTCAACCATTATCAAAAGTGAACCCTCAATTTTTAATAAAACATACTGAATCAAAAGAATTTTTAAAGCTTTGCCAGACTCATGGAACTAAAAGGGAACTTAATTTGAAAGTCTTCTCATTCTCAACCAGGGATGCTGGTGGGACACTAGCTTGGGGCCATTCCAGATTACAGCCTGGGGCTGGAGCAGGTGGGATCCCAGAGGATACCCCTATGGTTGCTGGCATGCTTGCTGGGGCAAAATGCTACCAGTAAAATGGACTGAACAGAGTCCTGCTGTCAGCAATGGATCTCCTTTTCCTCACTTGTTTCTGAAAGTTCTTTTGAATGCAAAATGAATTCTTACTTCTGTAGCATTAGAATGAAATCCTGGACCTTTCTCAGGCAGTGACAGCAAGTATGTCTCCACTAAGCTGCCAGCAGGAGTCACAGGAAGCTGTGGAACAGTGACAGAAGCACTTGAGCTAATCAAGAGTGAGTGTGAGACTTGGTCCTGCCACTTTTTCCTTCATCCTACCCTAGGAGCATATCTGAAAATTTTGTAGTTGTTTTCTAATTTTTTTTATAAGTATCTGACAGTAAATGAGAGAAATAATTACAAAAGAAATCTCTAAATGTAAGCATTTTGCAAAAGTAAGACTTTATCAGATAACCTAATTATGTACAAGCTAAAAGTAAATAAGTTTCAAAATAAGGAAGCTATATGAATAGTATTAGAATAGTTTATTCACTTAAACTTATGACATTTATTTTGGCTCTTCTTTCCTCAGCAAATAGATGTTGCTAGGTAAGTGATCTCTATCTTATAAATGCTATGGTAGAAAGCCTTTTTAGAACAAATTCTCAAGGAAAAAAACTACATAAAGCTTGGTATATTTATTATTAAACAATAATTATCAATAATAATGTGAGTAAACCTTACTATATGCTCTAATAGCATTCTGACATTTTATGTCCTTTTGATTACATTAATGTCACATATTTAATGTCTTACTCTTTCTACACTCTTAGTAAACAGATATTTACTGTGCTTAAATCTCAATTTTGTGGTTGATAGATGTTCCAGGAAATAAAATTTATGCAGCTCAAAGATCTATTTTACTTACCCTCGTTTCCTATGAAGGCTAAGGACTCTTACTTTTGAATTAGTGAAATGAAAGCAGATTCACAGTAAGATCATTGAGATGATACCTGGAAATGGTCTTATTCATCATACCTTGTCCTGAGTTTGGCACCGAAAACAGTCACAGTCAAAGCAGTACTGGTCCCTCAGCTGCTTGCGGCGCTCCTCACTAGTCATCAGCATATCCAGATAGCAGATAGTGAGCTGTGGAGGCCCAAGAAAGGGAAAAGTTCATAGAGCTGTCACATACATTTTCACTGCTAATGGCTATTATTATTGCTAATTATGGCCAATTTTGCTTTGATTACAAATCAACATATTTATGAAGAGACTTATAGTCTCTTATCCTAACATATAAATTTCAATGCATTTCCTTCAAGTCTTTGTTAAGTGTAAGCAAGTGTATTATATATTTTAAAGAACGGCTTATGACCACCATATACTTTTGTGCTGTACATTTTAAAACTTTTCATTAAACAGAACTATTGTATGCTTAGTATCACTAAGGTTTGGTAACACATGCTATAATCACTGTCAGTCAGAGAAGCCAAATTCATCCTGGCAGTCAAATAGATGGCAGATGATGCAGCCAGATTGCTCTTTAATCTTAATAAATTCTATTGCTGTCTCTGGAACTTTAGGGTTATCCAAACCTTGAAACTAGGAAATAGTTCTCCTACTTGTAACTAGATATAAAATGTGAAATCATTTCCAAAGGGGGAAGAGTTTAATATTAAGAGGACAATCATGGTGGAGGCTCATAAATTGATTTCCTTAGGTCCTCTTAAGTACAATAACTGCTCTCTGCCTTGGAGGTGAAAGGTAAAGGTGAGAGGATATAATTAAAAAGCTGTTCAAGTTCTCTCTAGCCCTAAGGGTCTATTTTAAGTCACAGGTCTTTATGTAACCTCATGATGTTTAAATTCACTTGAATGATTCTCTAATGCACAGACAATCAAAGAATACATAAAAGAGAACTCTTGATTTCACCCAACGTGTTCTATTTCAGCCCCTTTCCAATCTCAGAAGACATCCATTCCTCTTTGCATTATACATGCTGAAACCTCAGAATGATCCTTGACTTGGCTCTTTCTTTTATACGTCCATCCAAATCCACCAGGAAATTATGTGGGATCTCCCTTAAAAATATATCCACAACCAACTACTTTTCATCTTTTCCAATATTATTATCCTGATTTAAGCCACCACCATCTCTTGTCTATAAAGTTCACAGTGGGTGTCCCTGCTTTCTTCCCTAGGTTCTCTGCATTCTGTCCTCTTGCCAAGTGGTTCATCAACAGAATGTGAGTTAGTCTAGGGCCATCTTCTGTATGAAATTAGGAATCCTTTGTGCTGGAGTAAGGGCCAATTCCTTACAGAGGCCCTCAGTGCAAGCTCCTAGTGCACCAGGAAATGAATTAAAAAAGGCAAAGATGACACTTAAGAAATTTTTATTCTAATTTTGTTAAGATTTATATGATGCAATAATGAAACACTGGACTTACATTTTGTATTTTCAAAACATTCCACTTTCTAATAACTCATTTTCAGTAAATTTTATACAAAACATTGATCTTCAGTAAAGTAAAATATGGGTCCTGGGGCTGGGTAGATAAATCAGTGGTCTAAGTGCCTGCTGGGAAAGCTCAAGGACACAGGTTCCATCCCCGGTACCACACACGGTGCCTGCCCTGGAACCCTGGGTGCACTGAGCCAGCCACTGAAACTGGGCATGATGGTACACGCCTGTAATCCCAGTTCTGGGGAGGCTGAGACAGGAGGATCACTACGAGTCCAAGCTGCAAGGTGAGACCCTGTACCAAATGATAAACAAAAGATTGAAAAAAAAAAAAAGTACAGGTCCTTCATCACAGGTAGCTGGAGAAGCAGTGGCTTTGCATAATCTGATCCCATTTGCTCTCTATTCATGACCTGCTCTCGCATAGGTCTTGCTGCTCCAGCCAGCCTGGCCCCCTTGCTGTCCCCTGCTCTTACCTCAAGGCCTGTGTATGAGATGCTTCCTCTGACTTCTGTCACATTACTAGGGCAACCTCCTTCTCATCATCTTTCCTTCTCATCATCTTTCTGTTTCCATCAAATCACATTTTCTAGAGAGGCCTAACCTGAATATCCTAGTTAAAATAACAACCTGATTTTCCTGCCACCCAAAGACTCCTAATTCTCTCACTATTCTGCTTTTTATTTTGTCTGTGTGTGTGCACACGCACGTGCACGCGTGTCACATAAATCATCTTGTACTATACTGTATAAAACTTCTTTATTTGCTTTCAAATGTAGAAAAGTAATTATGGGGGTATTTGTGATGGCGGAAGAAAAGGATATTATAGGAGAGGAAGGAGGTAGGATTATTTATTAAGGAGATGACAAAAACTCCCTAGAGCAAACATGCCATGTGGTTTTTCTTTCACTTAAAAGAAACCATCTTATGTCTACAAAACATGATCTTACTTGTTTGAAATCATGGGAGGGCACAGAAGGCCATCCTCTTTGACAGAAAACAGCTCCAGGAAGCCTCACTAAAGCTGCATAGGGAAGAGAGAGAAGGCTGGTCAGCAGATCTGCCAGGTCCGCCATGGCCATCACCAGGAGAAGCCACAGCCTCACCTGGCTGGCTGGCTCTCTCTAGAGTCTAGCTGTGAGGAAACTCTACTAAGCTGCTTCGTACACCGAAACAAGAGGATCTGCCCTCTGGAAACATAGACAACAATGTTAGTAAGTATCTACCACCAGCTGGACACCTGCCAAGGAAGCATGAAAAGTAAAAATCTGCTAAGGTAAGGTCTTGGATTTGGATAACGTTGGGATTTGTACCCAGATCTCTCTCTCTCTCTCTCTCTCTCTCTCTCTCTCTCTCTCTCTCTCTCTCTCTCTCTCTTTCTCTCTCTCTTTTAATGTATTTAGTACAGGGTCTACAGGGTTTCACTGCACCCAGATCTCTTGATTCAAGCCTGATACTCTATATAAGAAAAGGTGCTTCTCCTCCTCCTCAGTGTGCCATGGGAGAGGTCTGCTACATAAGGAACCCCACTGCACCATCACACCCAAAGAAATCAAGCCTGCATGAAGAAGGGTTTCATGACAACTGGGCTCCTTCAGCCTACAGCATGTCACTTTTTAATTCTCTTAAATCTTTCTCTTACATCATGATCTGAGGTCAGGGCTGCCTCTAAAGTGCAAAGGGCCTTCGTATTCGGCAACTTCTAGTTTCTACAGAGCATCAGGTTCTACATTCCAAATAACTTCGCAGCATTTGTTTTGAAAGAGACTTTTTAGCAAGTCTGGGGGCAGTATGTACATTCATTTTTATTCCCAGGCTCTCTAGGTCTGTTTCCTTCAGTGAGATGAGGTGATAACCAGCTGATCTCTATGCCTTCATTCCAGCCTAACAACTCCTAGTCATTGGCCCAGCCACCAGATCAGGCCAACTGGAGATACTTATTGGAGGATTGCACAGTACACAGTGTGAAGCCCCTGACTTTGGGATGGTCAACTAACCCAAGGCTTCATATGAGGGTCCAAATACAAGAGTGATCATGCCACGCAGTGAACAGGCAGCAGGAGACTACTTGTTTCATTTAATTCCAATAAACAAGTTCTTATAGCTTCCCTTGGCATCCTATACTTGCCTGAAACCATTACCTGGACTATGCAATAGCTTTCTAACAGTCCTCCCTGTTGCCTTCTGTCTATGTTCATATTCTAAACTGCTTTCAGAGAGATCATCCTAAAACTCCCATCTGATCATGTCATTCCTCTACATGAAGACTTTTGATGGTTTCTCACTGCCTATGGGATAAAACCATACAAGGCTTTTCCCTACTGATTTTAGGTCTTCTAGCCTTAAGATCTTTCCTTTTACTAGACAGCCTGTCATAATTGTGTACATTGCCACTGCTTTGAGTAACACACACCAGGCCAATACATTTCTGGGTACCACTCCTCAGCTAAATAAGAGCTCTCTCATCCTTCAAGATTGGCTTAAATATGCATCTTCCTTTATTAAAGACTCATTGGCTACCAGTTTTAAGGGAGTATCCACTCACTAAACATAGGGCTCTTTAGTGGGAATATACACATGAAACTTGGCTATTGATCAGCAGATGCTTTAATGGCATAAAACAAAATTGCATTAAAATATTAATGCCACTGACCACTGTGCTTCCATTTTAGTGCAGCTTTGGTGCAGAATGCAATAAATCATCTCCAGCATTAGAGTAATATTACCAGAGATTTTCTATATCTTCAATATGCTGCTTACCTCCAAACTCAACACAAAATGAATTCCTTTTTCATAAAACAATCTTTCCCGCCGGGGAAATGGCTCAGTGGAATAAGTGCTTCCCTGGCAAGCACAAGGGTCTGAGTTCAATCCCCGGTTCCACAAAAAAAAAAAAAAAAAAAAAAAAAAAAATCTTTCCCAGCTATAACTGAGTGGATAATAAGGGTGAATTAAAATTAGACCCTATTTTTATTTCCAGAATTATACTGCCAAATTTTCAATATTTTGCTGAAAAAAATGGCTCTAAATTTTAAAAGTCAAACTTGAGTGTCATTTTTTTGTCTTTTTGTCTCACAAATCCTGCTAGGTTTAGCTTCTTTGTTTTACATTTTTTAGATCCTCCATTCTAAGCCACAACCTGACCTCCTCTTGACTTCATGCTACTACTGTCACTTCTTACCTGAATTATTGTGTCACTGATTCTCATTTCTTTAATCTCATGTACACATAGGTAAGTTCTTTTTCCTAAATGTTTCATCAATGTCCCACTGTCCCTCCCCTTTCCATGAATATTCACCTAGCCATTCTTTACATACCAGGCACTGTCCATCTTCATTCGTACCTACCCCATTGTTCTGGTCCCTACATATTTCCTCATCAGCTGCTCACATCTATTGATATGAACAGCTTATTACTGCCTGAACTCATCATTCTGTCCCTGACCTCTATGGCATAACCTAAACTCCCTTACCCTGCTCTCCATGGCTATAACTCCATGGATCCTTTCAACTCGAAGAGGCACTTCTCTAGAAACTTTCCTTAACTGTTTCCCAGGGAAGCACTTATTCCACTGAGCCATCTCCCTGGCCCCATCCTTAACTGTTTCCCAAGGCCTGCCTGTTCCTACTTCTTGGATACTCTGCTCTAAATGTCTATAAAGCCCTGTGCACATTTCTGACATTGT